TAGACTTCAAGAGTCACAGGACTTAACCTTCCTTCCTTCCACTCATAGTTTACATATATTATAGTATAAATTTCCAGTCACAAGATTATTTAAAAAAATGTGCGATCATTTAAATTGGCCATCTCGACATAACAAACAGTAAAGAGAAACGTTTATCGATCATTTATTATCGAAAATCTAGTATCAAAGTTGTACAAACTCTCTTTTTAAATATATGAACATAAATTCGAGTTATCGTTTCACGACAGATTCGTAAAATCGAATTGAAATTATTTATCAGTTCACTGAATAAATTCTAACATTTTGCGATACTAACGCCACAGTGTCAAACATTTCTACTATTAATTACCGAGATTCAGTATCAAAGAAATCCCTACTTGGTGTTTTAAATTTAATGACGACGAATCAGATTCGTTGTTGTATAATAATTTATTGTTGTTCGTATAATGGAACAGGGTTGACTGTCAGTCCGTAATTAGCTTCCTGGCTTTGAAGTTAGTGTACACATTTTGCAAATTCACGAAATTTACCGGTGATTTCATTGCATGTATCTTATCACATTGTACGAACCTCGAACGACTTATATGCATATCTGCAAACGTACTTCTGGTCTTCCAGTTCTATTCATCGAGATAACTTTACGCATTCGTTAAATCCTCTGACATTGTGCAATTGTCCCCCGAGGTGAGTCTAACAATAATTACAGATAAGTGTCAATTTGTTCTAGCAAGAAGAATAGGAACAGAAAACAACGCTGTTCTAAGATAAGTAAATGAAATAAAAGTAATAGAATATGAATGTCATTTATGGATATGAGATTAATTGATAATAATATTAAAGTAAAATTTTTTGTACAATTGGACGATTTTATTTCACTTTTATTTTCAACGAATAAAAGAAACGGGACCCTCTAAAAAAAAAAAAAAAGAATAGATCAAAACAAGTTATTTAAAGGATCAATTACAACCTCATTCTAAGAAAATCTCAACTTACATTCACGACAAACATGATCGAATTCGAAGAAATGGAAACGAAAAAAAATTGATTTTGGAAATTACAACCAGTTTTTAGATGAGTAGCATACTCTCAGATGAATAACTGCAATTATGAGATTATTCTTTAAACAAATTTTTCTTTCTCGTTTTATTGAAAAACTTTTCGAAAAGGGTTAATCTTATATAAGTAGTCTTATATATTATTAAAATCCTTTTTTTAAAAAGCTTTCCAAGTATTATTTCTTCATTAAATCTTTATTGTCTTCGATCACTTGGAAATTTAAATACGATTTAGTTAAAATATTTTGCAAGAACAAGAGATTAGCATAAGTGACTTGCAATAAATGAATTTCATTCGAAAATATAGTTAGCAAATATGTTTTTCTAGTTTCTTATTTACAGAAATAAGATCTTATTTACAGAATTATTATCGTTCTTACAAAAATCTATAGATTTCCTAATCATTTCCTGAACCATATACGTAAATATTATTTCTTTTTAATTTATTGTTTTTGATAAACAATGACAAGATCGACAAATGTAACATACTCTAGTATATCAGTTACATAATATTACTGATTCAATTGAAACACTTTTGCATCGTTATATGTTTATAATTTAAAACACATTTGATCCAAGCTTGATATGTGTATCAAAGTAACACGCGTCCTTTTTTTTTTAGCTTCTTTTGTTTTATCATTAAACCAGATATTAACAAGATATCAACAAAATTATTTTATCAAGCTATTTTTCGTTTATCTAATCTTTTGATGGTATCAATTTTTGTTTTTTGTTTTGTGTAATTTTTATCAAAAATTTTTCATGCTCATCATATTGATATATAATACACATATCGCGTAAATTTTGAAAATTTTCTAATAGAAATAATCATATAATTGTTATCAACAACGATTTAGTATTTATTAAAAATTTTTCTTCTTTTATCTGTCATAAAAGATTATTTTATAATCTAAAAGACCATCACGATTCAAAGGCAGTAAATTGACTAACTTGCATTTTTCATTTTACGGTTTTTCATTTCAGATTTATTTTTATAAAATTATAGACTTAATAAAATTAAGTTTCTTTTGTTTTTGTAAAGTAATTCATTAATTAGTTGTATTTTATCATTTTTATGATTTTAATATTTATATATTAATGACAACGAAAATAAAATTTCATATATAATACAATTATTGAGGTTGTGAAATAAAAACTGTAGTTTTATCTTTCCGAATAATCTAATCTAATCATAATTCAGATCATTTCAAATTATCATTTCTATCTTTACTTCTTTTTTATTTAATAACTATTCTTATTTAAAGTTATTCATATTATCATCACTGCGCTGATACTATTCTATTTTTTCGTAAATGTATAAAAATTGTATAAAAAAACTAATTGAATAAAAATAAAAAAGATTCTTACGTATAAATTTGGCCAATGATGTAAAAACACAATCCGTTTGTCAATTGTGAATTAAACCTAACCGATAAAAGTTCACAAGTCTCATAGAAAAAGACTTCACTTTCCTTTGAAAAAAATCAATATGACGCATTATTTTATTTTCTCTTTTCAGAATTTTAATAAAATGTACACATTAAATCAATTATACCATATCACATCATTTCTGATGTACACATACACGACATACCAGGGACTTTTGATGAAATTACCCATGTCTCTCAGTAAGATTCCAATTAGTAACTTTGATCCAGGAGCACTTAGGTTCTTGACAATATGGAACCTGGTAAGTTGCATTTTTTATTATTAATAAAATCGTATTTCTTTAGAACCATTTTATTCTTTCATCATTATTTATATATTATATTATATATTATATTTTATTATTTATTATTTGCTTTGTTTGTAGCAAGTTTTATTTGTATATTTATTAAATGATTATAATAATACATATTTATTAAATAACTATAATAAATGTAAATTGTAAAAGATACTGTATTACAAAATAATTATTCGGTTAATATAATATATTTACTGTTAATTAAGTACCAAGATTTTTAAATCTAAAAGTGTATATATATATATATATATATATATATATATATATATATGTTTTCCATGATATTTAAGAGATATAAATCATAGATATTGACTGAAATGTTTTGAAGCAAGAAAAAATACTTTGCCATTTTATAATTATTCGTATGTTGCAACAACAAAAACAAAGTTTGAAAAATAACGTTTAAGTACAAAATTCTTATGTGTCATTCAAACAATTCGCTGATTATAGCAATATATCTGGACTAATAAATTTATATTAACGCATTCGTGTCAATGCGTTGATATGAATATATTGTATCAGCTAAATAAATATTGCGAGACGTATCGCGTTGCACATTTTACAACATTGTGAGAACGTCAATAGATGGCACCATGTTGAAACTAAGCGTCACAACACAGGCTCGTATGCCTCTATACTATAGTCATAATTCGTGCGTTACATCACCAATAATGTTATGTGTAAAATAACATACTTTCTTGACGTTTGTTTGAGCAATAAACTTCTCGTAATATTCATTGTTTTCGAAACACAGTTCCCTTAATCGAATAAAGTCACAACAACTTAATGAACATCATCAAATGAAAAATATCAGTGACGAAAAAGTAAATAATGTTAATTCACTTGTCTGTCACTATATAACAATATTTTTACAAATTATTACAAAATATGGTTATGCATTATACGTAGTGTGATTGCCATGCATATATGTCCATTCGTATAAATTGTCCAACTTTTTAGTCTGAATCTGCTTATCGATTAGATAGAATCAATAAAAGATAAGCACTCGTATTTTATTGTTTAACGAGGTCAACAGACGTGTCTACTAGGGTGTTAAAAAAGATTTGCAATTTAGGATTTCAAGCGTAGATAGAAGAAAAAAGTTCCAATAAAATTTGTGCGGAAACGGGGAAAGGAGTGGAAAATTTATAAACACCAAAGAGAGAAAATAGTAAAATATTCACATATATCAATCATATATTACATACTTTGATTATCTGAAGAAACACTACAGCTGAAAATTGTTCATAATTTTTTAAAAATGTAAATTTTTCATGTTCCTTAGAATTATTTTCCATCAGTTTCTCTTTCTATCTATCCTTTCTATCCTCTGAACTTTTTTTTTAACATTCTGTCGACATCTTGATTAATGAATTGTGACTAACAACAAAAAATATATGATTTGCGCTATTTGTACTTGCGATATTTTTCTCTTCCTTAAATAAAGTTTCAATTTAATTAATTTAGTTACCTACAACAGAGTGTATTACTGAACATGTGTATGATATAATCGTGAATAGTATGTACTAGGAAGTAGAAAATCACGTAACGCGTGTGGTAATCATTTCTGTCTAGTCTATTCAATTTTTTATTTATTACCAGATAAATACGTAATACATCTTAACGAAATGAATTTGAACTCTCAATTAGAAAGCGCCAGAAAAATTAAAAAAAAAGAAAAAGATTCCCACGTACATCCCGATAGTAATTCAAAATTTTCTCAATGAAATTAATATCTACATTTATTTTCGATAATTTTGCTTCAATACAGATCCGTATGTTAAACTAACAATTTTCCATTGCATATTAAATGAATATAATGTGCATAACATCTGAAAAAAAAAAATTCAAATTTTTCAACCAAGTCTGAAAGCGATCTTCGACCGCAAAAATTTCTGCGCATTCCATCTGCGCAGAAGAGCATCAACTGTACTGTTTATCTTTGTCTTTTGATGAATCTCTTTCGTGCATGAGTCCTTTGTTTATGTCCTATTTCTATATTACATATACTTCCTATAAGATTAATGCACATTTCAATTAAGAAAAATAAACTAAAAATTATACTATTTGCTACTCTTTTAGTATCTTATTTAACTCTGTCGGTAGCAAATACAGTGTGCAGTAGCAGATGTGCACTCTAAGATGAGCACTCTATACTCCACTACATACACTGTAGCAAATTTCCCGCTTGTATTTCTTTTTTATTTTTATTCTTCTGTAAATTCTTCCTGTGTACACATCCGTTTTTGTTCAGTGTCTATGGTGGTTCTTGACCTGTGGTTATCTTACTCCCTTCGGCTGAAGTTGTAGGCACATAGTGAACTATTTCTCTCTTTCTCACAGTGTATTTTCGTCTATTCGTCAATAGTCAGTACGTTGCAGATCGTCGGCGCGGTCGATACTGTTGTAGTGCTGTCTGTACATGTGACCGAGAGAAGCCGAAGTGTTTTTCCCGTGTAATCACGAGAAACTGTTCGAATATTTAAAAAATACGATAATAATAAGATATTGTAGCACTGATCAAACTACTTTGATTCATCGGTACTACATAAACGGAAATTTAACTGTGACATTGTAAGATCACGAGTTTTAACAACTGAGTATATAGTTTCATATTAATTACTTGCACACGTGCATTCGAGACTGATTATTTTCATTTTTCACAATAATTCATCCGAACATTAAAAACAGTTAGAACCGATCCTCTTTTTTCTTAAATTTGTTAATATCTAACTGAAAGATTACTGTTCGACAAAGTGAATTTCATTGGCTGTAGTTTTTTTCTGTTAGTGTGAATGACTTAATCAAATTTAATTTATCACGTTGCATTGTATTCAAAGCGAGAATTATAGAATGAGGGCATCGTCTTATTCTCTTACACTTTATTATCATGTATCTTACTTATCATATGCTACTAAAAATTTGTTGTAAATAAAAGTTTTAACTAATAGAGAAGGAAATTAAGAACGATTTATCGATATTTAAAGAACATAAAAAAATCGAAATAATTTTAGATTTCATAAAATCATGAAATGGCATAATAAATTTATTCGAATAACAGGGATTATACATTCTTATACGTTTTATAAAACAAGATTTATAAAATAAAGACACTATTAACGTCACTATTCGTATTTTTATTACAAATACAAATGTTTGAAAAAAAAATTTATTCAATTTTTATTAAAAATATTATCATTAAAAAACTAATTTGAAAATATTTAAGAAACACGAAAAGTTCATTTCGTGAGAACTTTCCAGTTTTTGACTGTAATTAACTTTTTTTTGAAAGAGGTCAATCTTTAATTTATTCTTATGTAATTACTTTACTAGCTACGCGCGTATCTACTCTTTTCTTTTTTTTTTTTACAATTATAAATTTATGCGTTGGCTAATGTTTACTATAGTGGGGTGATAGCTCGAAGTGGCGTGAATGAGCTTAAAATCACAAAGTAAATGTCAACAAGTATATTATTTACAGTACATTGTTCTTTTTTTTCTTTTTTTAAGTTTCTTTTTATATATTGAAATATTATATATTGAAATATTATTTTTATACGTGTGATTATTTTTAGCAGAGGAGAATCGTTTGAGAAAAAAGAATTCTATATGTACGTAGATACATGAAAAATTCTGTTCTTCACAAAAATTGTTCTCAGAATTACATTAATTTAAATAATAGAAATCTCAACTCTGTCATAATTTATACATATATGAATAAATAATTTATGTCGTGGAAGTACTGTGTACTTAGATAAAATTCCTACTGCAACATTACAAGCTCTTATAATGTAATTTTCTTGCGTGGTCCGAGATTTACGTAATTCGAGAGTAAACTTCCTTACGTAATTTCTGGACACAATATAACAGTTTCTTTTTCTAATCAACTTCATAAGTATAAGGAAATACATATACGAAAGAGATAAATACCTCGAAGTAAATTTCTCATTAACATGAAGTTAGTCAATATTTTATGCAAAAAAGAAAGATAATATTCTTTTTGCAAGTTTTTGCCAATATACCGGAATATTCATGCATCATTTTATTTTTTAAATGAATAAAACATAAGCAGTGTGCAGACAGAACACAAAAAATTACGTGCTAATGTAGGTACTGTTTCAACTTTAAATGCAAGTCTCATGAAAACAGAGGATCCATTAACTAAATTTTACACGACTTTTACACGTTGTTAAGAAACATTTATTAAAAAAGTGAACATATAGAAAAGATATATAATTTTTTTTTTCTATCAATTCGTTCCTGTCTATCTAATTGGTCGAATACGATTGCCATCATGGAAATTTATCAAAACATTTCAGACTACAAAAATATTGTATGTGAAATACTTGCGAGATGCGAGACGGTCTACTGATTGGATTTCACGTGATCTCCTGTGTACAATTCGCATTCTCCGTGTATTATGATTACATGTACACTGTAGTTCCTCCGAATGTACTTAAAGTACACAACGGCTACGGCGGGAAATTCAAGTTTCTCACTTTCTGGGACGCGGTTAGTATGATGCAACAAACAGATCATTTACTCAGATTATTATTCACCCAATTAATCTTGTATATTTACTTACGACTTTGTAGAATTAAATATTCATACAAGTATAATAATACTTGCTATTATTTAGCAAGTTAAATATAATCATTAGAGAGATCATTAAGTCCACATTAAAGTTATGCCAATGTTAATTTAAATTCATCAATAAATTTAAACCAATGAAACAAACGAAATACTGTATTTTATGTAAAAAATGTACTCTCATAGAATACACGAACGTGAATAAATGCGTCTAATTTTTTCGTTGTGATGGATGTAATACTGAATTGGCTGATGTGTAGCATGTGTGAGATGTGTGGTATTTAAATAAGCAGAAAATATATGGTAAATAAATGCAAAATATTAACTTACCTACGTTTCAAATTTGTTAATTTAAAGTTCGAACAAAAAAGATTAGATATCTTTAAAAACACTAACGCATATCGCGTTTTTGTTAGTAATGTGCCACAAATTTCGTAATGCAATAATCAATCAATTAACCATTAAAGTTTTATTAAGTTTCTTTTATTTTAATTATTTTTTTTGGAAATATGATGCTTGTTTAATTGCAAAGGAAATATTCCGTTATCTTGTATTTTCAACTACAGTCACATTTCACTGAAGAAATCGCTTCCTGCACAAGGTTGAACTAACTCTGAAATTTTTTAATCTAATGACTGGTTATATAAATCGTGACAAGAGACAGCTAGAAATAGAAGATTGCTGGAAAAAAAAAGAAAACATTATGAGTAATTTTTAAAGGAAGATATAAATATTCATTCTTATATACCCAACATTTCTTAATTATTATTCCAAACAGAAGAAGTTAAGCGTGTAATTATCTCTTGTTTCAGATTATTCAAGCAGTATTTTTCTTCATATGCATTTTGAATGACTGGTTTGGTACAAATGCAGTTAGTCCCAAGAAACCACCCTTTGTACGCAAACTTAAGGATCATATGCACTCGATTCTTGGTTTCCCGGTTGCTATGGTATGTTAAAAGAATGGAAAAAATTAAATGTCAAAGTTCCATATTATATTTTCTTATAATTTTCTTGGATTACAGTTCGTTGGAATAATATTCTGGGCTTTAATGTTTGTGGACCGCGAGTTGGTACTCCCAAAGGCGCTGGATCCATACTTTCCATGGTGGTTGAATCATTTGATGCACACGTCAATCATGGTTTCTACTTTTATAGAAATGATGTTATCCCCTAGGAAATATCCATCGAGATCGTACGGTCTCTTTTGTCTAACCTTCTTCATAATCTTATATTTAATTTGGTACGTTAAGAAATTATAAGGGAGCTTTTTCAGCTGCTTCGATTAACCGTCCTATCTTACTTTTAAATTGTAAATTAATTTTAAACTCTTGAATTGAATATTTCAATTACCGTTAAATTAAATTAAATTAACTGTTTCGATTTTCAGGGTGCACATAATTTTCTACAAGAGCGGTATCTGGGTCTACCCAGTTCTAGAAGTACTGTCGTTGCCATTACGAACTGTATTCTTCTCTGTACTCATCTCGATCGCCTTGATCTTGTATATGATCGGGGAAGCAGTGGACAACTTCTTTTGGGGTAACGAATATACTAAAAGCAAAAATTCTTACGCCAAGAGCAAATAGCCTCACCTATGGTGATTAGCTGCGCTGACTTCGGTTATACATTTAGCCTCCGCTAAGGTGGTGGTGAATAAAAAATAAAAACCAATTTTCTACCTCCTCCTCCTATCATCCTCCCCTTTTGTCCTACGTTACAGCATGCACGAATGAATCTTTTTCTTTCGAAAACTCTTAAACAAAAACATAAAACAATAATATGTGCATGCAGAAAAAGGAGCGCATTTTTTTTAATCTGAAATCAGAGAGCACGAGGAGAACGCGGTCGTTAATAATTTGTTCATTCGAAGAGGGTTACGTAACTAGAGCATGTAGATAAGACTTTTTCTGTCGTGTGGTTTGTTGTGTCACATATAAAAGAAGGGAAGACTAATTGTAACGACTACATTGCACACACTCTGATGCCTAATATTCATGGTGATGTAAATTAAAAATTGGAAAGAAATGGCAAGTAAAGAAAAGAAAAAAAAACAGGGACAACACACATACGTACACACGATGCAACAGCTATTACATTTTTATACGTTTGACAATATTTGTCACTCTGGCAATAAAGAAATTATATAAAATATAGAAAGAAAGGAAGAATATGCAATATTGAAAAACGGTGAACTGTGGATACGTGTGTGGAATGAATGCATTGTTCCGCGTTTTGGAGGTATATCAACAGACACGTTTGCAAACACTATTTTACCGAATACTAAAATCCGGCTGTGTTTGTACCGAGTGTAGGAAAAAAATACCTAGCTGAAAGTATCGGACTGGATTTGAAAGCGTAACGATGTGAGGCGAATCGAGCAAGAGGAACGTGCTTTTGCTGGACTGATCAAATAAAGAAATCATTAACACGTTTACTTGCGTGTTCATCAGGATTCAATCTCATCGTTGGTTCTTATGCTAAGAACGTAGTGATTGTAGGTGGAAAATGCCGTTTTCACATTCACAGTAGATCAAACTTTAACTAGAATTCAAGTTTGGCATTTCATTTTTTATATAGTGTATAAAGAAATATATAATACTTAGTAGCAAACCAGGGGTATAGGGTTTGTTAACGATTTTTTTGTTATATCTCTAGATAAATGAATTAGAAAAGAAAGAAATATTATTATAACCGTTACTGCAAAAATCTTAAAATATAAAACTCATTGTTGAAATTCATTGAAATGTTTTCAACAAAATTGAAATGTTTCTTTTATAATGTTGACATAATTGAAACTTTCTGCGTATAGTTAGAACACCAGGAAAATACTAAATTCTACGGAAAATATCAATTATCGAAAATTACCTTTTCTATAATTGCATGTAATTTTCTATAATTACATGTACGTTAGTGCTGATATTCAAACTAGAGAACTTATTTATAAAATTAAATATTTTCATAATTTTTTGAGAATAATTATTTAAGCAATTTATATAAAACGGAGGCAGAAATTATTAAACAAACTTGTTATATATGTATCATTTTCTAAATATTGTAGAATAAAAATACCTTTTTATATAATTTATCTATTTTTTTTTATTAATATTATACTTTGTTGTAAATATAAAGTACCACGATTTCTTTCAATTTGTTGCACAATTTGTATTGAAATTGGTAGAAAAATTAATAATATAAATTTGAAATAAGAAAATAAATTTTACTTGTATATTTATATTTAATTTAAGTACAATAGGATACGCAGTTTTTAGAATACTGTAATATACAGAACAATGTTAAAAATAAACTTAGATTGTTCTGTATAAAAAGTCGAAGGAGACTTATACGATACGTTTATAACTTTAATATTGTAGAAAGTCGTCGAATTATTTTTTACCATATCGGAATTATTTATCGATAATAAAATATATAAAAAATATATGCTACTAAGACTGAATTACTTTAAAATAGTATTTACAGTACAAGTCACGCTATTGCACCATTGCAAATATACAGTCACAATAATATGTAAATAACACAATGCTTGCTGAAGTAGTATAATCAATTGAAAGTGAAAAATTTTGAACTTTAATTTATTTAAAATAATTTATTTTTGTAAAAAAAAGTCTTTCGTACGTAAACAAATGTTACGTAGCGATATTTTTGTTTTTATTCAATTGCGGTGAAATCTGTGTTCCTTTTGAGCTGCAATGCCGACTATTGATAATCTCGTCTATGCTTTGTTTCAATTCCTCCATTTCTAGAATGTCTAACGGTAACGACGTTTGCGTTGCCATTTCTCGAGCATTGCCAGTTTGGCCCTCGGTTTGTATCAGTCTTGTCAATTCAGGACAACACAAGGTTAAGCTAGATGCCAGATTTCCCATTCCAGCTTTTCTGCACATCTCTTTTATTTCCGCGTCGCTTTTCAACTTAATATCATTAGACTCCTGGAACAAGTGTTTCAAAATGGTTTCATCTTGGAGCAGGTATTTACTCTTACGACTTTCTCTGCTCCTTCTATCACTATCGTGACTGTAACTTTTCGAACTTTTGTTACTAATTTTGCTCTTGCTACGTTCGTGAGGTTCTTCGGGATCTAACATCTTTGCCTCCTCTTCCGGTTGACTGTCATCACTGTCACTGTCTTGATCTTGATCATCCTTCTCCATATTTCCACCTTCGATATCCACGTCTTTCCCCGATATTCCTTGATGCCGTTTCTCCTCGCTGCTTAAATTCTCATCGCTGCCGCTTTGCCCTGGAAACAGGAACGGAAGCAGCATCCCCGCGTTCTTTCCGTCGAATAGTTTAGGGTTTAAGGCTCGTTCGTCCAAGCCGGCGCTAGCCGATCGTCTCTTCATATTCGGCACTTGAATAGATGGTACTCTCGAATTGCCACCTATGGTCAATGCCGATAATATCTGTGCACCGAGTTGACTTTCCTGCGACGTTGTACTGCCTCTTCTAAACAATGGACCCACTTTACCTGATCTGGACTTCCCGAAGTCTCGTCGCCGTTTCCCGCGACGACCGCGTGAACTGCTAGCGACCTTTCGCGTTGTCTTTAATTCAGCTATTTGTACTGATATTTGAGAATCCAAGGAGTTCCTTCTCGACTCCACTGACACTCGGCGTACACTGAAGCTGATCTCAGAATCTACGGAATTTCTTCTGTTGCTCGATACAGATCCTGTTGTACCACCGACAAGCGCACCTCTACGAGTAACTAACTTCGGTAAGGCAGCTGCCCACGTTGAACTGAAATCTTGAGAAGCTACAGAGTTTAGATCAAAGTTCAAACCGACCGGGTCTTCGTGGGTATTATGGAAGCTGATGGACAATCGACCAGCATTATTGAACGTCTTTCGTTTTGCAAACGCTTGAGCGATCACTTTATGTTTCTTCAGTCTAATAGGCTCTTCTGTTTCACAATTGAAAGTTCTGAAATAAGAAAGAAACGTTGACACATTTCATTTTTGTTAAATTTGAAAAACAGACGAGAATAGTATTTAAAATTGTACCGTCTAAGAAATCTGGTCCAAGTGTCTACTGTTGAACCAGTCCACACCCATGAAGACATAAGAATACCGGCGAAAAATGGTGAGAGCAAATGTAATTGCATTTTAGCTGCACTTGGTCGTACTTCCATTTTACACTCGGAGATGTCCAAATACTTTGTTGTTATTGCACATCTGTACATAAAATATAAAATGTCATTAAACACGATATATTATGACGCGAGTCCCATTCTTTTGTGTTTCGATTTTCTTACATCATATAATTTCTAAAACTCTGATGCCACTCCTCAGAATGTTGGAACTCGTAAATGTGGCAATAAAATGTCACCAAAACTGCAGCGAATGTAAAAATCGAGAACAGCCCCATACGTACGATGGTTTCTCGTATTTTAGAACTTGCTCTTTCAGATATAATTTCCTGACTACTTATTTTTAATCGAATCAAAGTAATTAATCCTAAAAATATTAACATTATTATTTAATGTTAGTTAAGTAACTTGAAATAAAAATATGACCAACCCTCTAATATTCATTCTTATTAAGAGAAGATACTTACACTTTATGATGTTTATGGAAGCGTACAAAGAAATATATCACATTATGTAAGTAGAAAATATAAAATAGTAATGAGTTTAAGACATAAGAGTGTAAATTTGAAACATACCTCTGCATAAGAAGTAACCTCCAACGAGTAAAACAATCAACACAGGGCCAAGCAAAAACCAAGCTCTGACTGCATGATTAGTATAACCAACGAAACATATACCGGTAACACTATTTCCATCGATTTCCCCTAACGCCATGATTGTAACAGTGAGCACAAGTGGTAAACACCAAGCGATTAAATGGAAGTATGAACCCTTTTTGTCAATTCTGTCTTGAATTTTGCCTAATGCTTGAAAACTCATATGCCAAGCATACGTAAGGATCACAAACCATACCATAGCTGCCATAAGGGAATAATACACGAGAACAAATACTACGACACATGACAAATTTTCTCCACTGAAAATAGATTAGTATACAAAGTTTTTATGTCCGACTTGATACAGTGACTTTTAACAAAATCACGACATATAAAATAACATGACAATTTACTGTACTATACACAATTAAATAATTATAAATTACCTTGGCTCGCTCATTCTTAAAGTTCCATCTTTTCTACATACGATCACATCTCTGTTTCCTGTAAATTGAGCAAGCCATCCAATACAGGATACCATAAAACAACAGTTTATATAAAATATAACTAAAGCTGGATATTTATTTGCACTTCTCCAATCAATCAAGAATGTTACCTGAAATAAATTACACTGTTATCCATTTCATATTTCTTATCATTGTGGATATTTATGCAAAATAATATTTTTCTGAATATAATTAAAAAAAATGAAAGCTAGATCTGTTTTGAATATCAATTGTATGCTGTGGATTTTTACTTAGAATTTTAATAAGTGTATAAAAATCCGCAGTTTAATTATTACTTACAACAGTGAATAGATTAAATGAACCACAGATGCCTGCAGCCCAAGCAATGAAAGAATGAATTTGCTTATGCTCATCTGGTGTGAAAAGCGGATCGTTGCACTGTACTCCGCAACTTTCAACCCCCTCAAAAATGGCAAGCGCATTATCAGTCGGTACCAATGGCTTTAGACATTTGCCAGAAATATTAAATTTTAATTCTCTAATATCGTTTTTGCATAATGTGGGGAACAAGTCTGTATTTTCGCATTTGACAAAACTTGGCCATATTGTATGATTGAATATAATTCTACAAGGCCCTGAAACCATTTTACACATCTCTTGTGATGGTAAGTTTACTGTGTTGTTGATACATTTTGGCATAAATATTGAGCACAGGAGGGGTTGAACAACTGCCCAACACTTTGGCATATGTCTTAATGCTTGTAATACATGTAATCTTTCCTGCAAAGTAAAAAAAATATTTGACAAAAATATTTTTATATAAAAGCAAAGCATTCCTCTAAATGTAAAGAGTAGTTTTAAATAGTAATAAAAATACAGAAGCATCTTAGCATCTAGGCATGAGATAGTCACTAGACAGGAAGTACCTGAGTTGATTTTAAATAGGAATTTTTGACCTGGGACACCAGCTTTAACAGGGGAATAAAAAAAAGAGAAAGTAACTTTGAAATTGCTAGATTTACCTGTTGCAATTTACAAAATCAAATGTTGTAGTATTAAGTTCACAATATTCACATTTAAAAGTGACCTACCTATATATGTTATAATACATGTGTATAACATACCTCTATAATATCTTGGGTTACATGCTCAGGTATGAGATCCAATGTAGTAGTGGTATATGACAATCTCGTACCCATACAAGTATTCCTTTGCATTTCTACACATTTTGCGGGCCTGTGGCAATTCAAAGAATCAGTCGGTAATTCTCTTATAGGATACCTGTCCAGCAGGTAACTGGAATCCTTGATTCTGTGCCTGGCACTCAGCTCTAAATCGTGTTTCCACGTGTCGTTTTCGTTGTTCGAATTAATAGCGAATCTGTGCGCCAGATCCGACGATACACGACGAAAGATTAAAAAGCAACAAATCAATAGGAGCGTCATCTGAAAAAAATTGATTATTGTTATTATTAAGTCAAACCAAAAAAAAAAAAGAAAAATGACATGTTATACAGCAATATAACTTGTTATTTGTCACTTTTGTAATCGCGCGATTCCTGGCATGTGCGTACTATCAATTCAATTCAAACGAAAAAAAGAAAAATGTCACGTGTACCGCAGCGCAGATAAACAATAAAAGTATTTTTTGAATAAATATAGTACCTTCGGACGCATTATTTACAACTACACGCCGATTGTTTCCCGAACGAGCGTAGAATACCACGGAGAAAGCTCTCCGCTTCGTTCGGACAAAGCGTCTTGCATCTTCTACGCTCGCGATAGTCGCATCCAGCATACGAACGGTTGGACCACACACGCGTTGCGTTTGCTTCCAGGCCACCCACGACGAGCCCGATGAACTTGCTCATACCTCTTTCCGGTGTTTAAATGCACGGTGGTGTAAAAAGCTTCGCGAATACTTCGCCAGAGGCAGCATTGCCGACGATGCGCAATACGACGTGCGCATTGAGCGCGGGAAATTTTGTAAACAACTCGACACGAAATAAAATACCAATAATTACACGCTGTGTTGTATTAATTCACAGGACAGTTATTACAATCTCCGTGACGAAATATGCTATCCTATTAATTCACAGGACAGTTATTACAATCTCCGTGACGAAATATGCTATCCTTCTGTCGACTTATTTATCGACGAGAGTTTTCAATAAAATACGTCACGAACACGTAATTTTATAAATTGGTAGTTCCTAATTAAAAAAATACATCACTGCCAAAATATCACTTGTATTCAGTTGCTAACTCGAAACAATATTTGTTTGTAGGAATTTTTATCGCGACGCCTGATTATTATTCAGTAAGCCGTTTCATTTGCATAATCAATATGGACAATGCCGAGCGTTGTTTTTCAATGAAACGAAGAATGAAATAAACGTAATGAATGTAACACGACGAAAACGTGACGCATGATGTAATTTCGTAAGTTCTAGCTCGTCAATTATTTTCACCGGTGTCGACCTCTGCGATACGTTTTCCTTTGCAGCACAGATGTTACAGCATGTGAATTATCGAAAGGTGGACGGTTTATTTTGATAGATTCGATAAGTTCATGTTGTTAATTGAAGATAATATACGATAATATTTTAACCTGGCAACGAGTCGTTGGTAGTCGAGGCATTGATTTCCTTCGTCCGGCCTTTCCTCATTCCGGTGTAACAGGAAATATGATAATTACCCCGTATAGTTGATTAGCTGCTGGTGTTGATAATAACATGCTGTTAATATATGATAAGCCTGTGTCGTGTACGTCTGCACTCAAGTTGGAATTAATAGCAGCGGAACGTAATACAGGATTTCTTGGCAATTTACGGTCGTTGTTCGATAGTGAAGCAGCCCTCGAGGTGACAGATGTGTCATAGAATAACCTGAAAAATTATTTTCACCATACCAACTTTTGTCGTTAACAGAAAGGTAGGCATTTTATTTCTTTGAAAGTTAACATAAACAATATTACAGGGAAACTTTAGGCATTTCATGTTGGAATTTTCTTTTCTTTACAGCTGAAGATGACCAAGATCCTCTATTTAGGATTATATTTGTTGCTTCTTGGAGATTGTATTTGTGATTATCCAGATTGGGACACAAAATGGCAAATGCTGTGCCCTGGTTTATACCCGAGAGCTTTCACAAGTTACACGCCACGTGGAAACCTTTCTAGCGGGATATATACTACTCAGCATCATTTAAGCACCATGAAACACTGCGTCGCAGCATGTTGTACCAAAACTGAGTGCAATGTGGCGCTCATGCATAATGGCACCTGCTATCACGTGCAATGCGAAAATTCCAAGAAATGTATACCTTTGTATAGAAAAGATTTGGCGAATGAAACTCCTCCAAGTATGGTGCTAGTTAAACCTGTAGAAGAGGATGAAATGTGGAGCGACTTATTGGATCAGATAAATGTTGATACTGGGTAAGATTTCAATTTCATATGAGGAGTTATTTTTTATTATGAATTAATAGTTATTTCAATTAATGTTTCCAGAGGGTTTCTTATGGATGGTACAGAAGGAGATCACATTCTATTTGGTGGATCAAATGGGATAAGTTGCATCACTCAAACAAATTGTTTAGAGCACGAAGTCTGTGTTAAATCTGTGTTATCTGAAGATAAGTCTGACATTGGGGTTTGCCAATGTTCTACTGGATATAAACGAAATATGGCAGGTAATTGTATCATTGGGTGTTTGTATTCTATGTATTTTTAATTTGTATGCATTGTGGTAGGAATTTGCACTTTGGTGGAAGAAATAGAACTTGGTGTAACTCCACAAGGAAAACCACAAAGTATAAAGGATTCTAGTACATCTATGAAACCGCCAGTAAAAAGGCTGTTAGTTTCTGCAGTTTCAAAAGAAGTACGCTTGCCAGAAAACGAAGTAACATTGTCTGCGTATACCGTGCCGGCAGAACAAGAAAATGAACATTACAATTATGCTTGGAGTCTTTTAAGTCAACCAGATGGTCATACTGGCATAATGACTGATCAAAACCGTATGACTGTTAAATTGAGTAACTTATCTGAGGGTTTATATGCTTTTAAAGTAACAGTAAATGGCCCAAATGCCTATGGTGAAGCATATGCAAACGTTAGCGTTTTGCCACGTAGGTATTTTTACTATTTATATTTTTCAACTTGCGATCATCGTAATTTATAATTTAATATTGTTCACAGCTAAAAGAATAAATCAGCCTCCAATTGCTATAATATCACCTGCGTCACAAGTTGTGAAACTTCCAAATACGGGGGCTGTATTAGACGGTTCATCGAGTAAAGATGACGATCGTGTTATTTCGTATCATTGGGAATTGCAACGAGGTCCTATTGGATATCATCCTAATCTAGTTGACACACCTACTTTGCAATTAGATAACCTCATCCCTGGCAACTATACCTTTAAGTTAGCATTGAAACTATTTATTTTAAAAAAATTTCGATAATTTTTCTATCTTGAATCTTTTATCTCCTTTTAGATTGACGGTCGAAGATTCTAATCATATCACTAATTCTACTAGTGCTAATATAACAGTTTTAAAAGTAACTGACTATCCACCCAGTGCTAATGCCGACCAAGACATTATTATATATTTACCTCAAAATACATTGACACTCAATGGTAACCTAAGTACAGATGATCATGGAATAGCAAGTTGGGAATGGACGAAGAGTCCGTCAGATCAAAATAAGGCAGTAGATATGCAAAATACAAGAACACCGTATTTACAACTGTCTAATTTAGAGGAAGGAATGTATACATTTGTACTAAAGGTAACAGACGATTCAGAACAATCTTCTACAGCTGAGGTTCATGTATTTGTGAAACCACCGACAAATAAACCACCAAAAGGTAATTACAGTATTTTAATTATTCTTACATTTCCATTGAAAACAAGTTAGAATATTATTCTATTTTATATTTATATTACATTAAATAGCTGACGCTGGTGATGATATAACTATAGCATTGCCCGAAACAAAAACTGTGCTCGATGGTCGAAAAAGTAAAGATGATATTAAGATTGTATCTTATCACTGGGAGCAGTTGAGGTAAATTATTTAATATTAAATATATTTAATTATATATTGTAATATTATAATACTATAACCGAATTTCATTTAATAGCGGACCTAGTAATGTTGAATTCTCAGCAGTAAATGAATCGGTTACGAATATTACAAAATTGACGAAGGGTGATTACGAATTTAAGCTAACCGTAATTGATGACAATGGAAATAAAGATTCCGATATTGTCACAGTAAAAGTTACACAAAGTATGTAGAGTTTTATCTTGTGTTCTACTAACTAGCATTTATAATTATTTGATTATTAAAATAAATTTTATTGTGTAGATAAAAATGCAGCCCCGAAGGCTAACGCAGGTGGAGATCAAGTTGTTGTAACGCCTATTAGTGCACTAATTATTAATGGATCTCAGTCAACTGACGACTTAAGAATTAGTGAATGGACATGGTCGAGGGATCCGTCTAGTCTTGCTATAGGTACTATAGTTCAGAATTCTGACAAATCGCCAATTCTAATGGTAATAATATTTAATAATATTTTAAATAAACAATTCTTTGTATTCATAGAAAGTACCTTTGAATTTTATTCTTAGTTGACAGATATCGTGCCAGGAAGATACGTTTTTAGATTGAAAGTAACGGATGAGCAAGGTCTTAGTAGCGAAGACACGGTATCCGTGATAGTAAAACCTGGTAAATATTGAAAAAGAAAAAACGTATTAAAATAAAACTTCAGATAATGTATACATATCTTTTTTTATAGACCCGCAATTATTGAATTTAGTTGAATTAACATTGAATATCGGAGCAAATATGTTAACTGTATCACAAAAAAATTCATTGGTAGTGAAATTACAAATGTTATTGCGAGATGAAGCATCAATTGTTGTTCGGAATTTAAGAGCGGAGCCACATACTGGCAGAGCTGTTTTAATTTTCTATGTAGACAAGAAAGGAGGAAAGGTTACTATGCACGGACCAGAAGTAGTGAAACGTTTGAAAGAAAAATTAAGACAAGATTCAGGTCTTCTTCAGTTGTCCGTTGCAAATATCGATACTGCCGTGTGTCAAAATAATTGTTCACGTAAGTATTTTTTCGGGAGGTTAAATATCATTTGTTATAAATAACTTTTTTGTATAAAATTTGTTTTTAAATAGGTCATGGAGTATGTGATCAAGAAACAAGATTATGTATGTGTGAGGCATTTTGGATGCAAAATTTGATACAAAAATATTTTGGCAACGGCGAGTCTAATTGTGGTATGTTAAAATAAATGCAAAAGGCAAATTTTAAATATAAAAATATATTGAACTTATATATATAATTTTCAGAATGGAGTATTCTCTATGTGATAATAGCATTATTATCTCTAGTCGTATGTTGGGTTGGCCTCATTTGGGGTCTTGTCTGTCTTTGCCAAAGAATATGTACAGGTAAACGACGTTCACTTCGCACCAAGAAAAAGCCACCACGTTACTCCCTTCTGCAACCGGAACCGGAGGACGACAGCAGCACATGTACGACACCTTTCTTTTTATATAAATTTCGAAATAATATGCAATGAATCTTCATGTGATTATTTTTATAGTTTCCACACACAAAATGGTACTATCGGAATCGGATACCGATTCTGACGACGTCTTATTCGAGCATCGTAAAACGAAAAATAGCAGTCAAGTAAGAAACGGTAAATCACGAAATGGCTTTATTAAAGTGGGCTCTAGAGTAAAAACATGAGGTAACAGCCGCTTGTTAGCGTTTAAACAAATTGTGCTTTAAGTTACAATTTAACCGTGCATTTCAGGAACGTATAGAACATAAGATCTCGTTAAACGACGCACATTTGTGAACGTTTGGCTAAGAAAAGAAAGAGAAGCGTAAAATACTAGTCAGTTACAAGGCTGTAATTTTAAGTATGTACCTAATAAAGATATGATTTCTCAGACGGAAGTCGCTACTTGTAAAAGAAAAAAAATTTAACGGAACTAGATTAGAGACAAGAAGTCACGAGTTCACTTCATTGCATCTTATTTGATTTATTGGTATTGTGTACTTGTATGAAAGTTTTATTATATAATTGTAGATGTATCGCCGTATATGCGCGTGCGATATCATAGCACAATAATCAAACTTGATTTGATTACGGCCTTAGAAAATATTGGAATTAGTATTTATATATAATAATCATTTCTTATTCATGTATCCCTTGTCTGTAATACTTGCTCTTTAATATGTATATCATCGATCTTATTTTTACACTGCATATGGATAAATAATAAAATTTATTATCCATATAGCTAATGTAGTAATTTATTTTCCTTAATATGTTTGTTTAACGTTCGATGTTAAGTAAAATAGGGGAAATGATTTTTAAATTTAGTATAAAGTATTCTAAAGCATTTTAAAACAGCCACAATTTCGTTTCGTATGCGTTTGCTTTAGCGTTATTTTTAACTCATTACACTATGGTAAGCGCGAAGTAGTGCAAAAGTTATTCATACCATCATCCACCGACGAATTTCTGTATGCAACACATTTCGCCATAAATTAGTAAGTTCTTCTCTATTCTTTTGACATTAAATCATTTATTTAATTTTAATTTTATCAACTAATGAATTAGCTTGGCAATTTAATGGATTTTATCATCTGTTCGAAATATCAATATATAAGAAGTTGCTGTAACGAAAAATCATCAATGGATGGTGAAAATGAGAACAACGAACTTCATAATGAAAATTACATATTCCTCGAACGAAAAAATAAAATCGAAAGTACATATCCTGTTGTCAACGGAGAGCCATTACATTCTGGTAAAAACGAACGGTACGTGCTATTTTTAATTTTTATTATATTACCTCTATCATTTATTTCACGCTAATTTTTGAAGTAAATATGGAAATGCTTCAAAATAAAAAATTTTAAAACAATTTTCTATCATAAGAGAAGATAATTTTTGTTTATGTAGCTATGATAAATGTTTTAATCGACCTTTATTGTGGAATGGAAAGAGATCAGATTTTGTTCATCAATTTTCTGAGTTATCTTTTGGTGTGAAAGATCAAATAAATAATGAAGATACACAAGAGCAAAATTATTCTTCTTTCAACACGCAGGAAGACAAAGATTTTCGATGTCCTAGATGCGGTCAAAAGATGCAAGAACCTAGATTACTTCCTTGCTTGCATCCCATATGTTCACCGTGTGTTGCAGAATTAATGAGTAAACGTAAGTGATCTAGAAAAATTTAATTTATCTTTCCAGAAATATATGTCATCTTATTATATTTTCTTCTATGTTCTCAGCAATTTATAATTCTTCAAAAAGTATCAAAATACAAAATACCCAATTGGAATGCGGTAAAAATAAATATTACGAAATTTGTCCTTTATGTGATTTTCAATTGCCAAACGCTAATTCAACAATTCCACCTCCGCATTATCCTCTTCAACATCGTTTAGTAATGAGTGCTATTCGCTCTAGATTTGCAAACAAAATACTTTGTGATATTTGCCAAGATGAAGTTATTGTAAGTATTATATTACTTTTTTAATTTAAAGTAAATCGTTGTCTCAAAACATATTTAAAAATATTACTTTTGATATATCTAAAGGCAGTTGTTCAGTGCTCTACGTGTCTTCGCAATTTTTGCTTGGACTGTGGCATGGAACATCAACAACAAATCTCATTGGAATTAAAGCCATTGAAACATTCAATAAAACCACTGTGGGAAGCTACAAAAGTACGACGTACCACACTTTGCCAACAGCATCCCACACACGCTTTGCGTTTTTATTGTATTGCTTGCCAACAGGTTCATAATTTACTGTTTTACTTATATAATAATTTTTTATTTACTGAATTGCATTTTTTAAACATGTTAACTATTTTTTAGGTAACTTGTAAAGAATGTATGTGGAGTAACCAACACAGAGGTCATGCAAGCGAAAATGCTGTTGGAGCTGCAAAACGAGTTATTTTGTATTTAACTAAAATGCTGCAAAGGGCAAAAATGCTTTTAAACAAGCTGTTAACGCAGTACAACCGAGATGCGTTCTCAAACAGTACCTTTGATGAAATAAGGGATACTTTCATTTCAATAGATTATAGGTATGTTAAACTGATAAATTTTTATCAGTTATTTACATAATATAAAATGGGGAAATAGGAAGATTCTGAAATAAAAGATATACCATTATAAAAAAAAATATATGTACATACATGTACATGAATTGTCATGTGATGATTGTTACTATAGATCTTAAGATTCAATTAAAAATATGTTGAGACTGTCATTTGAGGTGAAAATTTGTACATTCCTGCGAATATAAAAATCTGTGATAAAAAAATAAATAAATATAAATAAATAAATAATAATTATATAAATAATTTTAAAAAAATTTAATTTTATATTCTTATTTATATGTAATAAATGCTCATTTATAAAAGGAATAAAATGTATTCATGAAAAAATAAAATTTATTTCAAACCAGTAATATTAAAACAACAATTGATGTATATTCTTTTGAGAAGACAGGCAACATCCATAACGTAAAATTGATCCACAGCAAGACCAATGATGTACTCCAGGATGTCCAACATGGCCATGTCCACAACCTTTATATCCACCTTTAATTAAATAATATATTCTATATTATAGTAAATAATAATGTGTAATAAAATTGTTTGTGTAAAAAATTTATACCAGGCATAAGTCCTCTACATCCACAAATAGCTTCTTTCTTACCACCACTTGAACAGAAAGTACAACAATGATAAATACCAGCATGAGGAGGTTTGAACATAGACATCCTTGTATCTTCACTAGAATTTTCTGTAAAGATTCGTATTTATTCAAAGAAATCTATAAAACAACCAATATGTCATTATATTTCAATGAATATGTCCTTTACCTGATGTGATATTACACACTCCTAAGACTTTAAATCTTTTTATTACTATGGTAGCAAGACTCAATATTTCTACATCTGAAGCATCTGCAAGTAATTCATTTGTAAGAGAGATAGCATCAAGAAGTTGTCTTGCCTTTTTTAATCGATTGAATTCTTGAATTCTTTCATGTGCCTGTTTAGCATGTAACGCTGTTGTATTATAATTCCTCAGCTTTGATCCATTGTTCAAAGGCTCACTGAAATATCTAATTAAATTGTAATTAAATTAAATTACTTATACTTCATTACTTATATTATAAACTAAATATGATTATAAGCAACATTGTTATAAAGATTGTATATATAATATACAATAGATTGTATATGTATGTAATTGTCATGTGATGAATATTTGATAAATTTCTTTTTTACATAAAATTTACATAATAATTCTATATTACTGTCATTTGAGGTTCAAGTATATATGTTTTTAATAAAACATATTTTAATAAATTTTAAATTTATCCTCTTACCTAATCGCATACGATTATACATTATGTTTTAAAACAATGTAATAGTCATTTCTCAAGTTTCAATTTACATTATTGTAACTTTTTATAAAATATGTAATTATACATGTAGGTATTGGGACAAATTTATACTTATTTTATGTAACATGGAAAAATGTTAGGTTAGAGAAACATTTTTTCTGAAATTATGTTCAAATTGTAATTATTTCAAATGGAACACTCATTGTTCCACATCTATATAAATCATCTCACTATTTGATGTATTATTTTATGTACATTTAAAAGTATAAATAGTTTTTTCACAAGAAACTCGTGTACAAACACGTAAACGTAATACATTCTGGCTACTAATGCTTAAATTAGAACAATGTAAAACTTGAGATTAAAACATCATGAAATAAGCTTTATAAGTGAAAACTAATTATTAAAGAAAGTTTAGTATAAATTATACAATATAAAATATATTAACAATTTTTTGTTCTAATCGATAAAATATACATGTTACATTAACATTACAGTAGCGCCACTTATCAAACATAGTTCTTATACATATTGAAATGAATATTCAAATAAAACATAAATCTACAAATAGAATAAAATTTTTAATTATATTTCGTTCTCAATTAGCAAATTAATATTATACTGAATATAATATTAAAATATTTTGTTTTATTATATTTGCAAACGATTATAGCAAATTAATTCTAAGTTAGAAAAATATGTACCTGTAGCTGTTAAGAATAAAGTATAAGTGCTTTCATAATAGATTGTAGCTTACAGTATGAAGTCATAAGCAGTTTTGGTATTTCAGAATAAATTATATTAAATTTAATGAGTGTTACAAAAAAGAATTGTTATACACTACAGTTAAGCGCAACACCTAGAAAATCTTCAAATCCAATACTAATTACACCTGTTTGTTCAGTATCCCTTACTCGAAAAGCATCTGTAATAAAAATTAAATATATATATATGCAATTTAGTTTTTAACATTTTTATCATTTTTAAGGATTCTAACACATTTTTATTTTATATATAAATTTACCTGTAAATCTTTGAATTTGAACACACAATACAATAAACTGATCAATAGTAATGTAAGAATGGCCATTAGGATCGCTTTTTTTTATAAGAAACGATATGAATTCTGGGCTTAATCTATATCCCATTCGTGTTAATGCTGCGCTTAATTCATTTTCTTGTATGCTTCCAGAATTATCATGATCAAAGCCACGAAAAACACCTAACCATGAGTTAATGTAGTTATAAAGAGCTTGAAATTCATATAGATCTATTGTACCACTTTTTTCCTTATCAAACATTCCTACGAAGGAAGAGTAAAATGTTTTAAATATTCTAAAATTTATCGACAAGTTAAAGCAATTAAATTTTAAAAACATACCTATCATAAGTCTGCAAGCAGTATCTGAAAATGTACCCCCTTGCCCATTTGCCAATGCAGCTTTTAATTCTGTAGCTGTAATTCTTCCACTGCCGTCTCTATCAACAGCAACAAACCACTGTTGCACTTCTGGATTCACTTGTGTTTCAGAATCAGTTGCTCCATACATTGCACTCTAAAAATGTATAACACACTTTGTTACAACAATAAAATATAAACAAGTATAATAAGCAATATTATTTAAACAAGTATCATAATATCTTGTAAACAATTGTAATAAACCAGCAGACTATACTGAATATGTTTTAAAGTGATAAAATGCAATTTTCTTTATTTACAGAGTATTTTTGTCCAAATAGCAGAAATATGATTACCGGGTAAGCCATGATTAATATTTTTTGTCAGCTGTCAAACGATATTAATTACAACATGTATTCAATTACTGTATTGCCATGCAACACAAGAGCAGTATATACAACACACATAAGTTTTGACGGGAACCAATTGTCCCCCCTTACGGTTTTCATGTCACACGTGACATTATCAATTGAGTGTAAGAACCATAGTCTGTGATACCATTGCGGTATATAGCACAGGATATATAGATAATACTCATTTATACAACTCAAAAGTTGATATTTAATTTTTGTTCAATATAAAGATCTTACTTTATCGCTTATACTTGCACGAAACGAATAATTCTCATAATGTTTTATTATCAAAATGTTTATGACTTTTATATTTTCAAAGTTGACCCGCTAAAAATCACAGTGCCATCTTACGAATTGTTTTGCATTTAAAATGATCGTATATATACATAGAGCGTAGGGTGTTCTCTAGTGTCCGTTTTTGCTTGAATTTCTGACAGAAGTATTGAGAAGGAAAACAAAACCAGGTGTTTGTCGTTGTTTTTATCCCTGTTAAGACGCTGCCGATTTTGATCCCACCATGGACGATTTGCAGAATTATAAGCTACAGCTTCAACAGGTAAATTAGCTCTTGTTTTTTTGCTTAACCTAACAAGAACGATGGTATGGCGAGTCCATTTTTGGAGATTCTCTGATTGTTTACAACGATGGAACCTGAAATGAATTTCGTGGTTTTAGGTGGAAGCAGCGCTTACCACGGACCCCACTAACGAAGAACTCCTGAAATTGAAAATTGATCTCGAAGAAGTAATAGAGCTGACACATGATTTAATTAAATCACAACAGCAGGAAAAAAGGCAAGCCAATGGCATGGATGCTAAAGATCCTATTTTACTTGCAGTTCTGGCCAATAAGTGGAAGGTTGGTGATCAGTGCATGGCACCCTGGAGCGAGGATGGCAAGTAAGTAATCGCATAAGTCCTTCGGATAAATTAACAGTCATCTATGGTGGCTCACTGAAAGTATTTAAACTGAAAGTATCTACCAGTTTAACTCTTACAAATAAATTATGTGTTCAAAAAAAATTTGAAATTTCATTAATGCTGTAATAAGGTGACAACAAGTATGGTAATTATATTGGTAAAAATTTAAAACTGATATAGAAATGTACATAGAAGATATAGGACACTTAAAGTATCTGATACACAGCATTTTAAACATATAATTATTTTATCTTTTTTGTTATGTTATTTAATGCTTAATTGAATGTTTAAATACTTTAGTAATCTGTGTAGAATATGTATTTGGATTGAATATCTGTAACTTCTATTATATTTATGATATCAGCAAATGAAGTTATTATGAGAACTATGCCTATTGTTATCATTGAATTTTCAGATATTATGAAGCAACCATAGATGCAATAAGTGAAGATGGTGTTGTCAATATAACATTTAATGAATATAAGAATACAGATGTCACAATGCTTAGTCAATTAAAGTCCGTAGCTAAAAGGCCAGCATCAGATTGGGCAGATCAAAAATCAAAGTGAGTTGACAATTATTTATCTATTCATTATTAACATGATCCTCCCTCTACAATTTTGAGTTCTTTTCTAAGAACATTGCGGGATTAATTTTACAAGAAATTACATTACTAATTGTTCATTTTTCTCCTTATTCCTTTATCCCCAATTGGCCACGATATTCACTCCACTGTTTGGTCTGCTTCGATCTGAAATACCATTATTGTTCATTTGTGTCTTGGTAACGCACTGTTCGTGTACATCGCCGGAATCCAGGAAAAGGTAACAAGAAATAACAGATTTTTTTGTTGAAATATTCTTTTTTATCTTTTTTATACATACAGATACGCGCGTGCACACACACACACACACACACACACACACACACACACACACACACACACACACACACACACACACACACACACACACACACATATACATATATGAATGACTGATATGATTTAAAAAGTATGCTAGTTTGAATTGATTTGTGTACAATGACAATGTTTTTAGAACAGAATAACATGGAATTTTATGATAGTCAAATTTAGGATAATGTGTAAAATTAATAATTATAAGTAAATCTTTAGCTATGTTTTATATTAATTTATATTAATAAGTTTCTAGGTGAATTAAAATTATTTTTGTTTCATCATTATACATATGGAGCATTAAATTTTATATTTCATGAAGTAGTAGCAATTCTTCTTATATATTTATGTAATCAATTTTACAGTAATCAATATTAATTTATTACAGCATTCTTCATATTTTCTATTTTTAGCCAGAAATTTTATATGGAAACATCCTGGTAGATTTGTCTTTAGTAATTTCACGAATGATAAGCTTGTTCATTTACAGAAAAATGCAAGCTGCTGCAGTAGCAGGCTCAGATCCTAATAAACAAAGGGAATACCTAAAAAAAAAGAAACAGAGGAAACTTCAGCGATTTAAGGAACTTGAAGAAGAACGAGAAATGGAAAAAAATAAATGGCTAGCATTTACAAACAAGGTATTTTTTAGTTGAATCTGCAACAAAATTTATTAATTATTAACGTACTACGTTTTTTTTTATTACAGTCTTCGAAGAAGGGTGTAATTAAAAAGAGTATATTTGCAACGCCGGAAAATGTGAATGGTCGAGTTGGAATCGGTACCTGCGGCGTGAGCGGCCGGGAAATGACTAAATTCAGTAATGGTGAAAAATGGAGAAGGGGAGCATGAATGCTATTGTAAATATACGATTTAATAATTTGTGAGATAGAACTATCGATTATTATTATTATTACGATGAATTCAGTTTTCGAAAAAGGTGAATAAAATGTATGTATGTCTTGTGTTGTGAGAATGTTCCCAAGTATGTAAAGAGAGAGAATGTTTAGTGGTATTTGTAGATTGCGTGTAGTCATTATGTTATAAGCGGGTAACGACCTCAAATAAATCCGAAAGGTATTTGGATTTTCTATCTTTACGAGTGAATGATTGTCGCGAATGAATGTGTTTCTAGATTAATACATTTATGTGGGTATGATTTGTTTATAATCTATACTATAATGGACACGAATAAATGTATATTTTAAAGTCAGATTGTGCAATGTCCAAACTATTTTTCATTAAACCCTTTATATTATGAAATTTTTAATTTGTGATTAATATTATTAAATAAATGATTCTAAGAAAGGAGTGATATATTTCTTTATTTTTTGAATATGCAACGTAATTAGTAACGTCGTGTTTCATCACAGAAATAAATTAATCATTTCTCGTGGTATCTATAGTTGATAGTTGATACCGTTAGATCAAAAATGGTCGTTTTATCGTGGAATAACACGTCACCAGTAGGTGATATATTTGATGCGATAAACCTAATATAAGATATTGATAAATTTAAAAAAATGAATGTATTAAATTACTACATCATTGTGGAGGCCTATAATAATTACTGTTTTGTTTAAAACTCTGAAATCGTGTTCTAACCTATTTTTATAAAAATCGTCAATAAACATTAAATATATTTTACATTCTCCTTTCGTTATGATAGTAAAATAATTGGATACTTATGTCATTCAAGTTCTATTGATTCTTAAAAAATTTTCTTTTTTTTAAGATAATAAATAAAATCTATCTTAATTAGTAGAGATGATTCTAAGAGAAAATCTTTTCATGTGTTTATCAGTTTATTGTTGAAAATCTACAGAAAATCGGAATTGATTGAAAACAAGAAGACTGATTCAATTGTTAACAATAGATCATTGTTAGATAAAGTATTCTAATTGTATAAAAGAGAATATGGAGTCAAATGAAAGAAATCAAATCTCAAATGGAGATGCTACAAACAACAGGGATGTCGATTGGTCTAGATATGGTTTGCACAATAATGCAGAATCCCAAAGGAATAATGAAACACCGAGAAATAATAGAGAGTATGAAGAATTTGGGCCTGAGATGTATCAAACTGGAGCAAATGAATTGTTTGCTCAAGAATATGTAAGTGATTAAGATAAACATATTTATGATTATATTTTGAAAATTCCTGCTTTTCAGAGTGCTGATCCTTGGTGGAAATCAAATTTTTTTATTTCTCAGCCTGTATTATTTGGAACATGGGATGGGGTTTTTACATCTTGTCTAATTAATATTTTTGGAGTTATTGTCTTTTTGAGATCAGGGTGGATAGTGGGCCAAGCTGGTGTTCTTAATGCTGTTTTAATAATTTTATGTACAGGTAATAACAATTGTGTCTGCATGCACCAATGACAATTAAATTGAAATATTTGAAGGAACTTGATGTTTCATCATTATTTTAGTATGTATTGCACTAGTAACTGTATTGTCTGCTGTGGGAATATGTGAAAGATGTCGTGTAGAGAGCGGAGGAGTTTACTTTTTACTATCACATGTATTAGGATCAAGATTTGGTGGAGCTATTGGATTGTTATATTGTTTTGGACAGGTGGGACAATTTGTATAATGACGATACTTAGAACATTACTTTAAAACCCTTTTTAGGCGGTGGGCTGTGCTCTAAATGTTCTAGGATTCGGAGAATCAATGGCTGGTCTAGTGGGTTTAGAATCTGCATGGACAGAACGTGGTTTTGCTTGCACTGCCGTTATTTTGTTATCTGTTATTAATATCGCTGGTGTGAAATGGGTCATAAAACTTCAATTTATTCTTTTATTGATTTTATTGTTTGCTGGTGTAGACTTTATGGTTGGAAGTTTTACACATGTGAATATTGGTAAGATGAGATAGTCCATAATTATTTACTTCTATTCTTACTTATGAAACTAAATGTGTATAATTCTATGTGTGTATTGTAGAAGCTGGTTTTGAAGGATGGTTATCAGGAAATTTAAAAAATAATACTTTCACCAACTATCAAGATGGGTATAGTTGGTTTACAGTTTTCGGCGTATTCTTTCCCACAGTAACTGGTGTTTTAGCTGGTATTAATATGAGTGGAGATTTGAAACATCCATCCACTGATATTCCTAATGGCACATTGGCAGCTGTAGGGACTGGGTAAAAATCATAATTCCACATCAAATATGTCATGTTCATTGTTAGAAACTCTATCATAATTCTGTAATTTAATTTCAGAACTTTTTTGTATTTATGTTTTTCACTGTTTCTGGGGGCTACTTGTACTCGAAAGGCGCTACTTACCAATTTTATGATTGCATCAACGGTATCTGCGATTTCAGTATTGCTACTGGCAGGTCTTTACGTGTCATCATTTAGCAGCTGTTTGGGTGCAATGTATGGTACACCTCGAGTTCTTCAATCTATCGCTAGTCAAAACGTAATACCAGGAATCAGTTGTTTACAAAGAGGAGTAAGTGTGATTTTATAATTACATATTTTTTCGATCACTATATGTGATGATTATAAAATAATCATGTCACTTTAGAAAGGACCAAATAAGGTACCTGTGTACGCAATGTTAGTCGTTGCCGTTGTTACACTGACTTTCATTATTACCGGTCAAATTAACACGCTTGCGCCAATTGTCACAATGCCTTTTCTCTTAACATATGCCTGTTTGGATTATGCATATTTCGCCCTTGCGCAAACATTCGATATACAATTGTCTCGAGAACAGAGATTTCGAACACAATCCCCAACATTCGATCGTGACTATGGTTGTTCAAGTAGAAATAATTCTATAACGGATACCGACAATGATCTGGATAATTTATTCCCCGAACGAATACGGCATAAAAATCTTATCGTAAGTTTAAATAAATATGTAATTAATCATTATACTTAGAAGAAACTAAGGAATATTGTATCTGTTATTTCCAGAGAAATCCTAGTCTTTCCGAAAATAACGTTTATATAGATTCCTCTCCAAGTATTGATGGAAGTGTCAGCGGTACAGATAATTCGGAACGAAAAATTCATATCCATAATAAATTGGGAAATTGGTATAGTCCTTTGTGTAACAGATGGTTTTCATTATTAGGGGTAAGTTTATTCTTGTGCATTATCAAATATACTAATGATTTAAATATAACTGTAGAGTGAATTTGTTTTGTAGTGTCTTATAAAATTATTCATCATGTTTCTTGTTCATTGGGGCTATGCTATTGCCAATATTGTTGTCGTTTTCCTTGTTTGGAGTTACATTGGTCACGCTAATCCTGCAGTTAAACCAGGTGTTTCGTCTGAATTTAAACTGTTTAAATGGTTGAAAATATTGTTATTGAGAATTATGGGGTAATTTTTAACACTATTATAGTATTTTTGCAATATTTTTTTCTTTATGAATCTGTAAGAGATATTGTTCACAAATTTTAGAAGAAAAGTGTACGATTATGAACAAATCGTGGTTACACCCGTGCATCCTGGTGTAGAAACTTGCTCAGCGCAATTAAATGAGGAAAATGAAGATTTTGCTGGGAGAAGAAGATATCATCAAACAGCCACGGTCACAGGACAATATGTCAACATTGATTAAATACTATAATTTACAGAGTAACTAGAAAAAGTATTCATTGGGAATCATACGTGAATCATTTCAAAAGGAATTGTATAAAAATCATTATTACTCTCGCATTTTGAAATAGGATAAAACAGGAAAAGGAGCGTTGTTACTTGCAACGTTGTTGACCGCACAAAACTAGTCTAGTTAAGAACATTTCATATCTTGTAATTAGATACAAGGAATTTTTTATAAAAATATCACGTGATAGCCTTAATAGCACTAGCAACCGAATAAGAAATAAGAATACAAAATAAGGCGTCCTGAGTAACTGAATAAAAAAGTCACATGACTTTTTGTCTATCAGTCTACTCGATGTATTTTAAACATATTTGAAATGCCATACTGCCAGAAGCATTTCTACAATGGAGGGTCCATATATTCAGTAAATTATTTTAAGAACTATTTCTTGTGACACAAGATTATTTATTCTTTATAGTTTTTATAATTTGTAATTGGAATAAAATCATAATATTTTATGTATCATATGAAGGTATGGAAAAAATGATGCTGGATATCAAATCATTTATATTAAATACTCTGTAAATATGTAGTGATGACATATTTATATGCTATTTAACATTTTTATAAATGTCGCTATAAAGATGAATATGTTACTAATAAAATATATATATATATAAATATATATATATATATGTATACACATATACGTATATTAATAACAAAAATATGAATTTTTATTTTTTATTTTATTTTATTTTTTATTTTCCTTTTTTTAAACTGAAAAATATTAATTATAATAATTAGAAAAATATTTTAAGTTTAAAGAAATTAAAAACAGGTGTGTTACTAATTTTGAATTTCGCGCTGAAATTTTTGTAAATGTACTATTCTAGTCAATTGCGTGCGTATAATTAATATTGGCGGGATTTTACATTTCGCAAATTACATTATATTTATAAATTTTTCAACATTACACTGTCGTATGTGAAATATATATTAATATATTTAATATTATATAAACAAACTAAGACAGTATTTATTAGAAATAATAATTGGAATTCCTCATTCTTACCCTGTAATATTAATTTTCTATAGAAATGCGCTTCCGGTTAGATGGTGCATTGACTCACGGAGTGTGTGGCCAGTTCGAAGCGTTTGAAAGTTCGCGTCGGACGTCTGATTATTTCGCGCTTAGTTATTTGTGTAATTTCGCTTAATTAAACGCAAAATGTAGTGTCTTGGTTGTTTCTTACTTATCTCTTAGCAATGTTAAAGTCAGTGCGCGTTGTGATATATCATACATTCTCTTCCAACCTCATTTTTTCGCGATTCGTTGTTTCGTTGTCGCGAAATTTATGAAAATTTTTTCAACATGGAAGGATGCATTTCGTCTACGCTTTTACAGGTAGAATTCTTAAAATAATGGAAAGAAACTTGTACTATACTTGCGAATTGGATTTATTTACAACTAATTTTATGCTTCAATATTTTATTTACAACTAATTTTATGTTTCAACATTTTCAGGTTTCTACATTCGTATTTCGCTTGCTATGATGACGTCACAGGGGGTAAGTTTTGTAACGTACATTTTCAACATTTTTATCATCGATATTTTCAAATAATACTATATATT